CTACAGCCAGCTTGAAGGCCTGTGGTACATAGCCGATCATTAGAGATAGGTTGATCATATTTAAGATCGAAGCATTAATTAATGGCAGGACTTCCTACCATAGGATATCCCAGTGCTCCCAGTGAACAGCGCTCTGGTTCCTCACCAGGTTTTATACACATGAAATATTCACACATTTTTCAGGTGGAGGCAGCTGCAGTAAGCCAGACTACATCTGTTTTGTTCTTTGTGTGCTTTCACTCAGCAGTACAGTGTTTGATAAACGTGTTAAGGAAGTATTGGCTAATCTTTTTATAGCAGCTGTTATGTTTCTGCAGACGATCATATTATCGCTTTTCTGGCTTTTGGTTCTGTAGAGCTTCTTCCTGATCTCTGGTTCGTTATGATGTCAACTCATCATACATGTGAAGGATGGATGTTTCTGGATAAAATCAAAGTAGAGTAAGAACCTGTTGGGTTAACCTCCTCCACCTCCTCTCGTGCAGAGCATCCACCTGTCGTTCCTGAGGACGGTGCCTCCATACTCCCACCAGGCACAGGTGTGGTTCGACCTGATGAGGGAGTTCAGGTGGAATCACATCATCCTGATCGTGAGCGACGACCACGAGGGCCGAGCCGCCCAGAAGAGACTGGAGACCCTGCTGGAGGAGCGTGAGACCAAGGTCAGCAAGGACACGCCCACATATGAGCTCATAGACACGGACATGCAGTCTCAATGTGCTGCACATCACGTGTGTGTGTGTGTGGGCGCACGTTATTCAGATGCAGGTTTGTGTAGTTTAGCTGCATGATAAATAATGAGCTGCTGTGTGAGAGGCCTTCATACCTCCATCATCGCTCTGTAATTTCTCCAGGATTGCTACTTCATCGCTCCCTCATCCTTCCTTCATCTGTCCTTCATTGTCCTTCATTAGCTTTAATATTCTTTCTGCCAGATGCTTCACAGCAGCTTCTCTTTCATCCTTTTTCTTTATTTTCTATTGTGTTCTTTTTCTTTTCTTATCTCCACCAAGAGGTTTTACAGGTTTTCTGTTTACATGGATCATAAAGAACCAGATGAGGCAGAATGATCGATCTCTGCTTTTATTTTCAGTAGCTGACCTGTGCGTAGCTGAAGCTGCTCACTGCCCCCGGGTTTTTATGTTCTCAATAAACACCTGATGCCACACATGATCCAAACCAGGATAAGAATCACAAACATGATCAAACATGACCTCCATGTGTGAAATGCAGATCCAGGAGGTTTTACTGACTAGACTGGACTGTGCTGGACTGGACTTTGCTGGACTGGACTGTGCTGGACTGGACTGCAATAATAGCAATAATAGCAATAATATAGATATGTGAGTATATTACAGAAATGGGTCTATTATGGTATGTTATAAGGTACACGGTATGAAGTATGTTGTGAATATTCTATAACTATAAGTATGTACAGGCTGTAGTGAGTACAAGCTATGTACAGGCTATGAACAAGATATACACAACACTAAAACCTTGTCCCCAGCCTGAAAATGCCTTTTCACAGCCTTTCTTCATGCATGCCTGAGCAGTACACAGGGCCTCTTTCGCTAATGAGGTAGCACGTTGCCAACAATCCTTACATGTCTTCACAAAATCTGCCACGTTAGTTTTTGGAACACCCCCACTAAGGAACCTCTCTTTCAACATCTTTAGCGGGCCTCGCACCTCGCGGCCAAACACAAGTGTAGCTGGGCTGAACCCTAAGGACTCCTGCTTAACATTGCGT